TGGCAATTGATGGCTCTCCAAATGAGAAAACGTGAGTTAGATAACGCCTCTGCACCGCGCTGAACTGCAATGTCATGTAATGCATTAATTCACCAAACAAACTGAGCTGCTGATGTTACCAAAAATACAGTAGAAAAGAAATGATTCGAATAAAAAAGAAGGAAGAAATGTATACACAAATATTACTAAACCAAATAACACAGCAAGCCTTCCATTCATTTGAAGTTATTTGCATTAGAATGACAACAATGGTCCAAAGAGTGGCAAAAAAAAAAAAAAGAAAAAAGAAAAGCAACAAATTCGAGTTTGCTCGCTGGAGTATAGCAATAGAACGACACAACAAATGAAGAGCAGTAGAAAATCAAATCAAAAGTAGCGGCCGTTTTCATTTTAAACAACAAGAACACCAGCGACAGGCACTTTCTCAAAAGTGGAATTTTCGCAAGACAACAAGAAAAGCAATCAGATGTAAAGGTGGCTACATTTTCTAATGTTATTACTATTTCGGTTTTGTGGTGGTATCTGCCGGTTGTACTCAAGCTTTTAGACTCTTTTGCGGTCAAAGTAAAGAATTTGAAACGTGACAAAAGTGTTATTAACTAAAAATGTTTCTGTTAATTTTTTCTGCTTCTTTTATTGCGAAAGTCTAAAGGAGAAAAAAAAAAAATAAAAAAAAAACAACAAAATTCAACTGAGCCACATTAACAAAAGAAAAACACAATATTTTCCATCTTCTATTTCATTGGATATATATCTTATTTTATTTTATACATACACATATAAATATATATATAAATATATAAATATATATATAAATATATAAATATATGTATATATAGAATTGATAATTGTTTAAGAGAATTTTTTGTCTTGATATTCAATCAATGACAATTGCGCCTCATGGCAGTCGTTGACATTTGTACTACTACTACTACTATTACTACCACTACTGCTAGTAGCAGAAGAGCAGTCAAGGTGCAAACAACTTTCTTTTCTCTTTGATTATCAGTGAGATATACCATTTAGGGAAACATGCTAGCACTGTTACAGCTTTTGTATCATCTAAGAATATACATCAAGCAAACGTTTTCGTGTCATCTTATTATACCCTCCATTGGTTTACCTATATACTTACACGGTTTCAATTCATTCAACTGAAAAGGATCATTTTAGTTCATATATTTTCAGCATATGTCCACAAAGAAAGTTTAGCGATGAGGGCACTTAATTGCCACAAACCCATGCAGACTTAAACAAAAAGGCTGACAAAAGTTTTACGTAATAAATAGAATTTCTGAGGTGTAGCGACCTCAAACTGGAAGCAAAGATTCCTTTGAGATCAGTAAAACTATTTCCAATTGGCTTACGTGTTATATTATCTTGGTACATCGAGGACTCACTCTTCACCGCCTTTTTTATCTTATCCAAAATCTAGAATATGTATGCACAACCACTAATAAGGCGTTAGGAAAATGGTCTCAATAGTCTTATAAATATGAATGCACTTAATAAAAAACAATATTGTGATCCTAAGGGAAATGCCTGAAATTTAAGGGAGAATCGTACGCAGAACTAAATATCCCTCTAACTAACTAATTTCCTTTCACTGAAATAGGGTCGCGCGAAGATCTAATCATACGGTTGTTGTTTTATAAGTTTGCCTCTCTGCCTCCCGCCACCCCCTCCCTCCACCATATTCTTTTTTTACCTTAACAGTTTTAAGACTGAAATGAATTCTCACAAATTTAACCTTGGCCGCCATTCTCGAAACTATAATCGCTTATCATAAGTAAAAAGTCTGGATACTCTATAATATAGCGTATAGCAGTTAACAAGTCCCAGGAATAATAAGAATCAAAAATTCGCTTTTTTTTGCAAAATTCAACTTTATTCACCAACCTAACTATCTCAAAGGATATGAGAGAAATTAGTATAACGTTTCCCTTTAGCTTCGGCTGATGATTTGAGTCCAAACTCTCACGATGCCCTTCACTTTCCCTATCATATCACTTTTTCTAAACTCTCTTCGTTGGAGGATGGATCCTTTTCAGATTTATGCATATCTGAGCGGTATAATTTGCCTACGAGAGTAAAATATAAATCCTTGATCTAATAATCTAAAGCAACAACAACTGATTGACTTTTTCGTGTACAGAGTTTAGGGTATAGGCATAAAAGATTCATTCCAACGTGATTATATTATATAGAGGATAGCAATATTAATATTAATCAATTTTTAAGCATTTTTTTTTTTTTATCGAAGTTGATAATCATTCTAGATAAAAAATGAAAAAAAAAAAAATGAAGTGAATTTTATCTGTAAACGTAAACGCTTTAACGAAACAACTCAACTTTCACAAGAATCTTAAGCAATTTATCAATCGATCAAATTCTTTACAACATGGTGATGAATGTGAGATAATTACAGAATCCATACAAGCAAACACACGCATACGCACACGCACACGCACACGCGCATTTTTATTAACAAACTATAGTTTCCGTGAAAAAAATGAAATTAATTGATTTGGGCGGTGGAATCCTCACTTAGAAAATGCTTTCTAAACAAAATAATCTTTAACACTAAATACTTTCTAAAGGTGGAAGAATATTCTTTCTGCAATAGCTTTCGTGTTTACCCACACTTTTTATATTCTAACTTTTATTTGCCGTTGGTTTATGGATTTAAAAGATTAGTAGCTAGAGAGCTAAAGCTATTAGAGTTTTATGTGCGTTTGTACGTCATTTCTTTAATGGGGTGTTATCTTGCCTTTACGATAAATCAATTATATAAAAGTGGCGGGAGGTATAAATGGCTGTGGATTTATAAGCATTACTACAACAAATTTCGTAAGTTTGAAAAAAAGTTATTAACAATATAGTGATCGTAAAGAAAGAGAACCAATTCCAAAAATTTAACGGCAGTGATGTTTCAACAGTGTAATTTTTATTCATTTATACGTCAACCGGTTGATCGAAATCATTTTTGTAATCATATTTAATCTCGCCGCAGCTTCGTCTATTATTATTTGCGCTATTTGAACAAGATCAAGGTACTAACGTTAGGTTGTGTGTAATAGATTTTCATGTCTGTTGTGGTCGTACTTACCGCTAACGTTGTTAATTACTTCGAACCGAGCTTCAAGTAAATCTGTATACCATGAAATTTCAATCTTAATTTCTCGCCTATCGTCATCTTCTTTGTGGATGAGTCACGGCCAATTTTAAGATTGATTTGTTAGTACTTTTTATATTAATTTTTGCAACCTTGATTATTCCAACAGCAGGCAAACGAACCAACGGACAAATAGACCAACTTTAAACGGCTCCAAATTTTAGGCCATTCTGCGTTTAAGATCCTTCGGCGATCGATATTTAAGTAAAGACAAATTTTTATTACAGTCATTGGGATTGTATACTCTGTTGCCTATTTATAATGATTCGTGGTGCATATGCCTCTATATGTATTATTCCGCGTAACGGGGTAGGTAAATATCGTGACTACCAAGTCAAAGTTGACGGGCTCAACTCCCAACAGCGGTAGAGTTCGCTTTGCTCCCAGCCGCAGCGAATGTGCAAGCGGTAAGGGCATCACACTTATCGATTGTGCACACACACTCACACACACACCCTAGGCTGCGATCATCACCTTCCCATGTCTTCCTCTTTCCTTTCTTCGTTCTGACAATCACCATTTTACACGGGCAGGGAACATGCTCTGAATGATGGATCATAGTGAAAAAAAAAAAAATGAAAAAATTTCTAAGGTCCTATGAAAGTAAGAGTTACAGCACAACTTTTCTCCTTCGTATTTCTATCCATACGCTCATCTGGATTCTTTTTAAACACAAAACTATTGGTCTTCGCTTCAATTGAAGTAAAAAAAAAAAAAAAAAATGAATATCATCACAACTATAATATTAAGATCAATTACTTATTACCGCGATTAGCGTCATTTTTATTTCTATTATAGCGATCATTACCATTATCACTGCCACTATTACTTGCTCCTGCTCTTACCATCACTATTACTGTCACTCTTAAAATCACTATTGCTGTCACGAATAGCATCATCATTACTACGGTCACTTGTATCACTTTTATATTCACTATTCTCACTGTTATTATGCACTATCGCTATCGATATTTATTATCAGTGTCGTTATTCTCATTATACTACTTGTACTACTACTCTTATTGCTATCATTACTATAAGTTTTGCCACTAGTCTTGTCACTACCGTTATTATTCCTTCTGTTAGGATGTTTGGAAAGTCTTTGTATTTGTTCTCAACCGTGGATCTAATTGAATATTTTCACAAGCAAATTTCCAATTAAAGCGCACTGTCCTCATATATTTGTTAGTCTGATATCGTAATGCTTGCGCGAGAGAAATTTTATTTGATTTTGCGCAAAAGTTTTTCGTTTGGTACCGATAGCCGAAAGCAGCATTTTCGACGCACTTTATTGACGTTATTTAATGCGCAGTGCCAAAACTGTCCACTGAATCCTATTGGTCTTAAAAAAAAACATTTATACACTGTCTGTTCTGGCCAAGAAAACGAAATTTGTTTCCGATTCACGTAATACTTTTGTTGTTGTTGTTGTTATTGTTATTGTCACTGATATGGCCATCACTTTTCATTTGTATTTATTTTTCGCTTCCTGAACTAATTCGCTTATCCCGTCCCGCTCCTGTTTCATTTCCATCTTACATTGTCTGCCCTATACGTGTCACATATTTTTCTTCTTGCAAGTTTGCTGTATCCCAGTTATCCAATTTATATAACTTTTTAATTATGTTTTTATTTTGATTTGTGGTTACTACCCTTTAAATATTCAGTAGCTGAACTTGTAAAGGGTAAAAGAATCGAAATGTAAACATAACGAATAATTTCCATAAGTTATTAATATTATTATTTATTATTTATTATCCCGAAAGATTTTGTCACGTTTTTTTACTTTGTTTATTTTTGTATTGTATATCGTTTATCTTTTTAGCTTTTTGCATCGCAACGAAGGTCGTTTCTAAACATGGCGCTACATAGGTAAGCTCTATAGAATTTTTGTATTTAATATTGACGTCGTCGAAATGTCGTTTCAAATGCCTTTTGTCAAATCCCTTTTACCTTATTTATGGCTTTTTTAAAGGTTTTTTCTTTTTTATGCATTTTTGTTTGTTTTGTTATAACAACATACACACATAGCCACAAAGGTACTTAAGCAGTTTTATTTTGAAAATTCGTTTTAATAAAAAAAGTTTTATTATCGGTTAACTTAAATAGATATTATTTCACACTTGTGGCATGATTTCTCTTGATGTTGCCTTTTAGCTATTTTTGAAAAAGAAAATTTCTCTAATTAGAACGAAAACGTAATAAAACAGTTGATTATCTATTCGCGAAATAAAATAAAAGAAGGGCGCACATGCGTTCCCAATACATTGTAATTGATGTAAAATTTTTATTAAAATGGAATTTGTATTTAATTTTTATGCCTTGCACCACTCGTGATGCAAAGGCATATTAAGTTTGTGCGGATGTGTGCAACATCCAGATAGGTCAACTTTTTATTATACTGATCGATTCAGAGTTTTTTTTTTCTGAATTAAACTAAGCTTGTCTGTCCGTCCGTCCGAACATCTCTCTCTTTTTTTTGTGTTTAGGTCGAAATTTTTGAGAAATTTTGATGAAACTCGCTTTGGATGAAAGCTATTAAAAGCTATGGCTCCGATCGGAATATCTTCTCGACCAGTTTCAATATAAGGCCTTCTTTTGAAAAGTCGCTCTATGCATAATTGTATTAAGCGAAATGGTTTAGGGTATTTAATAGTGGGTCGTGGCTTCCAAAAATATTTTCACTTCTTACTCAACGATTAATTTTGAAAGTCATTTCTGTGTGTTTTTAGATACTTACCATCGTTTTTATTGACCGATCAATGTCAGGATGAACTTAAATTAAAACAGAAACCAACCGATGTATCACCAAAGCTCTCATTTCAATTAATTTTTCATTTGTGTTGATTTTTATCAAGAATACATTTCGATTTCTTTCTTCATCACTTTCGAAAATTTATTTCTATATACACTGAAGGTAGATTAATTTTGTCATTCAGCTTGTAATCACAGCATGCAAATGTACATCAAACGTTTTGCCTGAATGTACTTTTGGATTAGATGATGTGTCCTCAAAATTGTCTCAGTTGTTACAACAAATATCAAAAACTAACAATTGTTGAGAGCTGAGAGCTTCCATGCATGCATGTATTTTATATGTAGCATGTACCAGCTTCGCCTTGAAAGTACCCATCTTTCACTCTTGTTTAAACTAGCCGTCTCTATGCCATGATCAAACATTTCATTTATAGAAGGGGAAATTTTCAAATTCTGCTCAATTAATAAAATTAAACTTACGTTGATAGTACATAATGCATCAAGAATGATTCCGAGTCAATTAAAACCAAGATAGCGTACGTAATGATTGATATCACTTAGTGCTTCTTCAAAGAAAGTTTCATAAAACATCTTAAACTTGTTAAATTGTATTTGGTAAGGAAAATATACTCATGGAGTGAATACAAAGAACTGGAGCAACGTACTAAAGTCTATTCTAAGTGTTTCCACCGCATCAACTTTAAATAGAAGCCGAACCACAGTGAAAAAGCAAAGTTGAAGATAAGGACAAGGGTATCTTACACCACTTTTGATACAAATCTATATCAGGGTTGACATGGTATATACAGCAACCAAAAGGACTTGAGATGGACGCACCGTACATTTTCCCAATCGATAGAAGCTTGTCTGTCTGTCCGTTCGTCTATTCGTCTTGTATTGTTGCATTCACAATAAAAAACGCTATTTCGGTTTCTTCGATGAGACTTTATACAACGATGCATGCCCACTAACGCACGCTACTCGAAACTGTTCAGATCGAATCGCTTTTTCGTCCATTTCTCGTATAACGCCTTCTTTTAAAGATTCATTGTTTATAAGGAAAGTGGTGTTGGATATTTAATGGCGGACCATTGTCTCCTATAGTGTTTTTACTTCTTTATAGTCTACAGAATAATAGTTCAGAGACTTAAACCTTAACTGATTGCGAGTGAGTTAAGTAAACATTAACATCTTACAACTTTCCTGGTTTTTAGGTAGCGATTTTTATCCTTTCGAAAAATTGTTCTTTGTAGAAATAATGTGTGTAAGCAAGCTGTTCCCTGAGCAAAGGCTGTTGTGACCTCTTGCACTTTTGAATCGATTATAAAGGACTTAAAAAATGATAAACCATAACTAAAATTTTTCAGAATTGGTTGCTGCTCCGTTTCATGAGTTATATGGCCTTCGATTAATTAAGAAGTCGAAGGACCGAAAATAAATAAATAAGTAAAGAAAGGTAAATACGATATGCTCTCTGCAAACATTCGGGATTACACTCAAGTTCAACTATAAACTGAAGTTCTTCAAGTCTACTTTGCATTAAGTTTTCCGAAATCGGTTAAGGCTTTCGCAACATCTTTATGGTTTGCGTTTCTAGCTTTGGTGGAGTATCCCGCTCCGCTCTGAGTCCAGATAAAAAATTCAAGGAACGAATTACTCATTCAGTTTTTTTTGCTGAGATTTTTATAAAACCTTGTTGTGTGATTTACCTTTGGCAAGTAGATAACTGAGACGGGTTTCTTTTTTGTCAAATTTTTCGGAACAGTTGCGATTTTTTCCCGATAATTTACTAAATGTAAAAAATTCGCTCTTTATTTATATAGCACCAACGTTCGCATTCTTCGTATTAAAATTTATTATTTTAAAGATTTCTTCTGTCAAAAGAAACCGTTTGGCAATTATCGAATAACATCAGGGGTTTACTTGACTAAATTTTAAGTATAATCGCTGCAGTAAAGTCGAACAGCGTCAACATAACTGTAGTAAAACGTAAGAAAGCATAAAAAAAGTAAAGAGGGTGGAAATCCGCAACCCGAAAATTTAAATATATGAAGAATGAAGAAAAGAAAATTATGCTCCGCTTTCCCTAACCTTTCATACCTACCCTCTTCATCCTCAAAAAGATTTGGGGATATTTATCCTAGTCAATATTAAGAAAGTAGAACAAGAAGACTAAACTTTCCTACTTCAAGATTTTCGTTGGAAGTGGCTGATTATTTCTCCCAAAAGAAGTATTTCATTTAAATCTTTTTATACACATCGAAGGATGGGGGATATATTCATTATGTCAAAAACATTTGCAACGCCCCGAAAGGAGCTTCAGATATCCCACAAAGTGTATATATTCTTGATCGACACCACAATTCTTATCATATTTAAGCATATCCGTCTATCCGTCGGTGTGCAAGTATAATGTTTGCTATAAATTATCTCCTGGCAGCAAAAATAAAGCTATTGGCCCCAAATTCGACAAATACATTGGAAGTTTTTCACGTAGGTTGGTGAACAAAACTGTCGAAGAACACGGCCACAATACCACGTAAACTAAGAACACATCTGCTTTTCAAAAGGAATAAAAGTTACAGCAGAAAAAAAATTTTAACGCGTATTCCATGGGAAATGCTGTTATGTCCGTACAAAAATGGGAAAAATTAACTACGCTTAAGCAAGATTACAGTGTATCGAAATTTAATTTTTTTTTTTTTCAATATCTCTAGCGAGCAGAAGCTAACTTCATACATCTCATAAGGTAGAGAAAGCCTTGGACAGTTTCAAATTTATAATGCACCGAAGCATGTCTGTCCATCTGTTCGTCTGCCCAACTTTGTAGTAGCTGTAGTGAATGTTACCCCGTCAGTGAAAATAAAGATACAACGTAAGAGATTTAGGAAGTGAGCTAAACTTTTCAAAGGATCCGCCCACAACGGTCAAACGGAGTGCGTTTTATTTTAAAATATCAGTCAGAAAATATCAGTCGCGCCTGCTCCGTGTTATTGACCACTTAAATTTAATTATGTTACTTCTTTTGCCCTTTATAGCAACACGGTGCTGGGTATAAAATATTCGGTCGTAACCAAATATAATTTTCTTACTTGTTTACTTTTAATTTCTGATTCATTAAAATGTTTTGAATTTATATGAAAAGTGGCAAGATATGAATGAAATGTTTTCCATGATTCACACATACGCGAATCTCTGCATGTGCGTCTAGACACAAGGAATAAATAAATAAAAATAAACAAAACGAATGAGCAAAGAGAATAAATTTTTTTTTTTTATTTTTTTTTTTTAGGGTTGCGAAGGTATGCACATAAATCAATTTGGTGTGGATTAACAGATGTAAAGCCAGCCTTGTTTTGACATTTTTATAAAATGTTTATTATTATTTAATAATTTCATGCATGAATATAGTATATTGCCATGATATGTCATGACACTGGCGGCATTCACGTTCTACATGCAATTTCTAGTGGCATGCGAAACGAAATTAAGGTTACACCAGCATATATATAACTATATGTATAGATATGTGTATATCTTTATTGTGTAATATCTAATGTCTTTTTTGTCTATCTTCCTCCTCTTCCTCTTTCTATGATGATAATTTAATGGCAAATTGTTATATTACATGTTATTCTGCTACTGTTGCAAAGCCAACCTAATTAACTGTAAATTATATGACACAGTTCTTGACGAGAAGTGTTCGTTATCTGGTTAATGTTTCAATGTTATGATTGCTTTTGTTTAAATTTATATGAATTTACGATGATATTAACATAATTGCAATGAATTTTTATAATCATTAACCGGGTTTCACTATCAAGCCTAAGTAATATTGCTTTACATAAATAGTTACATGACATGTAAAAGAAAGACATAGGGCCACGCACCTCAAGAGAATGATAAAAAAATATTTTATTCAAAGTATGGTCCAAAACTAGCTTCAGAAGAAGCTGATCCTACGATACTATCTGCGTAATTGGCTATTTTTTCATATCATCATAAGCACGTAGAAGCAGCTCATCGGTAGAAACAAATGTAGAACAGAAGGAACAAAGACTGGTAAACAAAGCGCGTGTGGTGGGCTATTCAAGTTCGCCGTTGTTAATATTTAC